CCCACAGCACGGGACATGGGGGTGGCCTCACGTGTCCCAGGTGTTCTTGTCAGTGTCGATGGACATGCAGTTGTACACGGCGTACCGCAGCAGCTCCTCGCAGGCCTTGGCCCTGGGTGGGGGGACAGTGGGTCACGGCCATGGTGGGCTTCAAGAGCCCCACGCTTCCCTTCCCGTGCATGCCCCAATGTCCTCTGGAGCAGGACCTGGGGGATGTGGGAGGGGACCCCAATGCCAGCCCCAAGGAGGGGGTAGTATGCCTGTCCCCTGTCCCCAGCTCGACTCACGAGGAATACATGGGCAAGTAGAAGATGAAGGAGCATGTGGAGGCCTGTGGCATCTGGTCCAACACATCCGCACTTGGGAGAAAGGAGACAGAGTCAGACCCTGGCACGGCGCAGGGACCCCAGCCCGGGCAGGATGGACTCACTTGTCCCTTGATGGGTAGACAGTGATCTGAACCGGGAGGCGGCTCCGGCCGGTGACAAACTTCAGGAAGCGGCTGAGATCCTCTGAGGAGAAGGACAGGGCTCAGGGCCCAGGGCCAGGGACGGGACCAACCCAGTCACTGCTGTCACGGCAGGGTCTGCCCTTGCAGAAGCACCCCGGGAGCATGGGGCAAAGCTAAGGGATGCTCTCGGCACCCTGGGAAGGGCCAGGCAGGATGACCCCAGCTGAGTCCCAGGGAAGCACCAGGTGTGTATCCCCGGGGCGCAGGGCAGTGGGTACCCCGTCCCCTGGCCCACCCTGTGGCACACAAAGAGCAGGGAAAGGCTTGGGGTCGCTCACCGCTGGTGAAGTTGTTGAGTGCCTCCCAGAAGTACTGGATACGAATATCACCAGAGGGAAAGTCCTCAAATGTGACTGTGACAAATACGCAGCAGCTTCGTTAGAAACTCCCGTCAAAGCGAATTAACATGGAACACATCCATCCTGCCCTTCTGTGAGAGCCCCAAGCGGAAGCAGGAGAGGAGACCCTCTGCTCTTGGTGAGCCCGAGCCCCCGGCACCCCTGAACAGGGCCAGCACCCTGCACAAAGGCGGGTGGAGAAATGAGGGTCTCAGTTTGCAGGGTGACCGTTCACCTCTGCCCATAGTGGCTGCAGACCAGGTGGACCAGAGTGGGGACCAGTGGGGTTTCCAGCTACACCTGAAGCATCCCTACCTGGGGTCCCTCGGGCTTATCCTCTCCCAGGCTCCTGGTCACCCCACAACCAGGGACTTGGCATGGGGCAGGACGCGTGTGCACAACAAGCATCACTGAGGGGGGCTGCTGCCCACGCAGGGGACTGGGAGCAGCTTTGGGCTGGACCTGGCACTTACCAAACTTCCGCAGCTCAGCCACTGTGATCTCAGGGTCCCCGCAGACCTTCTTCTCCAGCTGCTGCCAGGGGAGCAGGTCCAGCACAGGCTGGGGCACCACGCAGAGCAGCCCGGCACGCATGGCTGCGATCTTGGGGGGGCACAGGAGGAGTCTCACATCACCATGGTTGGTCTGAGCCCAGGGCAGCCACCCAGGGCACCAGACACAGGGACCGCAGGACCCCAAAGGGGGTCCAGGAGCCTCATGGACATCCTGGGCATGGAATGCACAGAGGAACTACCCAGCTGGAGCTGTTTTTGGGGACGTGTTTTTGCAGCCACGAACCCAAAAGGTACCAGGAGGTCTTGCCACAGGAGCAGGGTCCCCTTTGAGCTGCAGCAGCCCTGGAGGACAGTGTTACCTGCTCCTTGCTCTCCTCCAGTCGAGCCTTCTGCACCAGGCGGATGAACTCCTTGCGGTCCTCGTAGCGCACCACGGTGCTGCTACCGCCAGGGATCAGCTCCACCATGCGCTTGTCGCTCTGCACCACTGTGTAGGTCAGCTCTTTGCCGAACATGAAGTCGAAGGCTTCCCTGTCCACCCCCTCCAGCACCTCCAGCAGCTTCACCTGCAACCCCAACAGGCAAAACTCATCATGGTGGAACCAAAGCAGCCAGGGTAGCGCACGGCACAACTCTGCTGGCCCCCAGCCCTGCTCACCAGCTCCGAGTCCACGGTGGCGAAGTCCTTGCTCCAGCTGACCTCCTCCCCTGCCAGCTGCTTCCAGACCAGTGCCGGCAAAGCTAGCATCTGCCGGAGAGAGCGAAGACGCACGTCCTCCCTGTGTCCCTCCTTCACCCAAGGGCAGCCCCTCTCCCCAAGACACAGTGGCCGGCGCCAAGCCCCCTCACGGGCCAGTGGGGCTCTGCCACGCTCACCAGAAACTCCTTGCTCCTCAGGGCTGCTCCCATCAGCTGCCCAATCCACTCGTACTTGGGGAAGTCCTTGCAGGAGGGGTTGGGGACATACATGTCCCTGGTGACACTGCTGCTGTTACCCTGCAGGAGAGACCCACAGACACAGGTGCCACCAGCCCAGAGCAGTCCCTCCCTGCAGCCTCCCTCTGTGTCACCCCTCCACCTGCCTCTCCTGCCTTTTACACCCCTCCAGGAGATCTCCACCACCTGGGTACAAGCACAGCCCCCCCCAGGAAATAGCCCTACAAGTGTTAGGATGGGACTAACACTCCAAAAGGCCCCAGGCTCTGATGGATGCCCAGGCAGACAGTGGGGTGCCAAACCTGGTTGGAGGTGCGCACGAAGAAGGGCAGGGGCACGGGGACATCGCCTGAGCTGGGACACAGCTCCTCCGACACATCTGACAGGCTGTCCCGAAAACCGCCGCCTGCAATGGGGCAGAGGCTGGTTAATGCCTAATGTAACTGAGGACAGATGCTGAGCCACAGGATCTGGCCCACGGGCCAGTGCTGGGGGCTTAGGGGAGATGCAGGGACCACCCCATGTGTGCAGAGCGGGACAGCCTCCCACAGAGCAGCTGAGATAGCGTGGGCACCCCACCGCAGCGGGTGACACACTGAGCTGCTCCCCAGCACGAGAAAACCCGGTGGACAGAGCAGCTGAGATAGCGTGGGCACCCCGCCGCAGCGGGTGACACACCGAGCTGCTCCCCAGCATGAGAAAACCCGGTGGGGCAGAGCACTGGGGAGGGAGGGGAGAGCTCTCACCGTTGTCAAAGATGCCCTCGGTGACAAAATCACACTCCCACCACTGGCTGTGGCTCTGGGGCCACCTGCGGGAAGCAAGACCCCCATGCGCATCCCTCCTCTGAGACAGCCAGCAGCACCGGCATCCCCCCATGCCAGGGAGCTGACACCCCACAACTGTGATGCTGAAGACCTACCTGTAGTCCAGGGGCTGGTTGTTCTTGGAAGATCTGAGGCCTTCATACAGCTGGAGGGGAGCAGAGCAGAAA